TCGCTCCCCCTTCGGAGTACCCGACAGAGGCCCGTCGCGCAGCGAGTCAGTGGACGAGTCGCAGCGCGGGTGTGCGATGTAGGACGTAGGACTGGTACATTCTTTAACTTGACGCGAAATCACTACGGTGCGGTGCGCTGCGACTGGTCCAATGACCACTTCGCGCCTCTGCCTTTGCCGCGCGAAGGGCCCTCCTGTCGGGTACCCCTCTTTTCGATAATTTCCATTATCTCGTGATATGTTTTGACACAACACAGTCACTTGATATGCGCGAAAAGGTGGAATGTTTGAGTTCACACTAGTTTGCCGAGAAACTGCATGATGCCCCCTAAATGGAATAGACCCTGTTCCCTTCAAAATATAGCCCATATAATGTAACAGGAGTTGTAAATTTGAAATTGATTTCCTTTACAGGGCGGGACAATGTTCGACGCAATTAAATGGAACTTCACCAAATTTTTGGTTGATAGAGATGGAAATGTTGTGAAAAGGTATGATTAAAAAGTATTCTCATCTTACGATATGATTACGTTCTTATTATTATGCCATGGATAAGGAGGAAAAATGGCAGTAAAAGTTGTAATATCACGTTCTCAAATTCCAGATTCGGGCCTACAACAGAGCCAAAAGATATGGTAAAGGACATCGAAAAGCTCCTTTCAGCAGGCACTGCTTAATTCTGAAGCTGTGATGGAGAAGTGAAGTGTATGATTCATGATTCCATGAATTCATTTTGACTAGTAATAGGGATGAATCATGCTACACATGTGGTAGCCCTTATCTCAAAAAGCTTTCACTTTTTTGTTCAGTGTTGCCTCTTTACAAACAATCACATGTATTGTATTTTGCGCATTGTGCTTGTTGAAATGTATAGTGTAATTATGTTTACAATTTAGCTTACTCATTATACAAACTAATATTCCCTGTGATTTTCAAATAAAATCTATAGCATAACAAAATGATTTCTCTGTTTTGTTGTGTTGAAAGCCCTTAACAGAATAAATCGGATTCGTGTTGCTTCAGGTATAAGATTTCAGTGTAACAAAGCACAACCTCACGCTTATTTGTTGGTGCGGAATCCTATTAAGCACAAACCAGTACCATCTTCATTTTGAAAAATCGTTTGCCCAACATTTTTTCTCATTATCAGATTGCTCCCCGGCAACCGCCGAAACCTCTCCTCCCCTGCAAGCCTTACGCCTTCCGCTGTTTCCTATCACCTGTGGCCCAAAACCTCTTGGAGGTGACGCGTATGCACAAAATGGTGTTTCGTGTTGTAGAGGGAATCATACCGTGATGACATGAGTTAGGGTGTTCACTAGGATAAAGTGAGTTTTCTGCTTTTCGCAAACGAGACTTTTTCGCTGCTAGAACCTCTGTCTGAAGGTCCTATCGCACCACATGCCCCCCTATGGTGTTTCTGTGACAGTCACCTATTTTCTGAATAACAACTTTCAAAAAACAAGATGAAACTCGGGTTGTGAGGAGGGGAGGAGACGAGGTAAGCAAACCAGCCCTTTTGGCGTTTCGGCTGGGACCGTATGCTGAATGTTGGGGAGGGGATGGGGTCCCCAACGGTCGACGGTTTACTTCAACTCGGTTGGTACGATAGGAGAGTACTGACCCAAGTGGTGCAGCTGGTCTAGCAGCTCCGCCAGAAGGGCTGGTTTGCTCACCCCAGACTAAGCCTTGGAGAGGGGAGGCGACCGCTCCTCCTCTTAAAGCCTAACGAGGGAAGGATGGTAGGTCGAAGTGGCCGTCCGAAAATGAAATGTATACCTCCTGATGCGTCTCCAGACGCTGATTCCAAATCTGCCTTCCAAATCTGCTAAACGACTCTCCGAACGGAGTTATGAAGCGTAATAGCTCAGTGGTGATGGTCCGGGGTGGCAGGTAAAAGCTCATAAGATCAATCGGAGTTCGCTTTGCATATATATGTTTGCTTTGCTTTTTGATTTATAAGATGACGTGTTGGCCAGTCGCTGACAAAAGCAAAGCAACAAACTGGCACAGAGAATCGATCCTAAAAAGTTCTACCTACCGAACCGACATATCACCACTTGGAGAATATTACGCGATCTTCACTAATCCGTTCGGCGAAAGTTCTTAGAGATTGAGCAGGCAATTGGAAGATCACGTCTAGTGAGACGCACTCAGAAGGAATACATTCATTTCGGATCGGCCACTTCGAAACCCCTATCCTCCCTTCCTTGTTTAGTTCTGCCGGGGTTCACTAAACAGGAACGAGTTGCAAGTAGGTCCTCCACTCGTTCAGGGGACATCCGAGTCCCACTCCCACCATTCAGCATACGGTCCTAACCGAAGCGCTCCAAAAGGCTGGTATTGCTATTTTCGGGAGACCCACGCGGTGGCAGACTGCTGTTTGATCGGTTATCTCCTCCAAGACTTCAATTAGTCACGAGGGTACAGTATTTTCGTAATGGCCACTGATTAGAAAATGTAAGTCACTGTGACCAGCCTGAAAGCAGCTGATACACGATCGAGCGCGCGCTCATCGACGTACCCTCTCGAACCTAGAGTTTCACCAACAGAATACGCTCCTGTTCATGAGACCGAATCTTGCGGAAATGCTCGGAGCAGGGTCCAAACGAAACCCCCTCCCCCAAAGTGTTTTGATACGAAACCCCTTTTTCGAACACACATGAACCACCATCCTCGTCTCATATTAATTTAATTCTGGTACCCCTCAGAGGGGGGGGGGGTGGCTAAAGTGTAACTGTGGACACGGTGGCAGTCATATGTAGCTTAAATTCAGACGGCTGCTTCAATCTCGTTTTCGTATCGTTCTCTGTCTCTGCGCATCTGGAGGTATAACACCAGAGCTACTCGCCTCTTTGAAAAAACTTTCCGCGCGCGCTCGTTTAAACAGATGTCGCACTGGGGCGAGCTTTCTCCCTACTGGTGTTAGAGTCACTACGGAAATTCTGAAGGAATGCGACTTGTAGAGGTAGATGTGCTTCACAATGAAGGATTAGGTTCCTCAGAAGGATATTTCTCTAAAGGCAGCGTTTGTCTTCTTCGTTAGGTAATGCTGTAACTACAAAACGGGGGAGGACGGGGAGAGTGCAGTCTGTAGAAGGTTTTCTGGAACTGAGCTACGGAGGGAGACGATTTTGGAGAGAAAGGTTGCTCACGCACCACTTCGAGCCACTCTTCTCCTTTGAGGGTTCAGTCCTAAAACTGAGCGTTTCCATAACCCTAATGCAGTGTGTCGCATGCTGCCGTTCTCGCCCACCAAGCCCCACTGAGGATGAGTACTACATCTCTTATATTCTAGGCAAACTGGTGATATTGCTCTGCCTTTAAGGGGGGCTGTGACTGAGCTCCTACTATAAGTCACTGTATTCAAAACGATTTGCGCACTCAACATATTGCCGTCTCCTGAGAGCACATTGCTGAAACCCATGAATATCGGCAGATCTTCGTTCGGTGAAAATTTAAGGCAACCTTCTGATTTTCACCTGTAGACACTAATTAGTAGTCAAGTAGCTCTGGCAGTCAAGTAGCGTCCACTTATTTCCCGTAATGCAGTTTACGTCAAAAAATTATGTTGGAAAGTTCATCACAACTGTTCCTATGATTCCTCGCTTTTTCGTTTCAGGTATGTATTATTACTTTTGCTGAGGTCACTGACTGGTGAACAGTTTTTGAAAACACCGCTGTAGATATTTGAAAGGGTGATGGGCTTTGCTTCACAACGACTTACTGGATGGAAGCACAAAGTCACCATATGCAGAAGAAAAAATCCACGATTAAGAATGTCTGATCTGCCTCGTGTGGACCTTCGAGCGGACAGAATAAGCGTCACATAATCTGACAGTGCACCTCAACAAACTAACCTAACACAATGGCGCGCCGCGCGAACGCGCCGAGTAAACGTGCCGCCGAATCTGTATGAAAACGCAACTCGAGGTGCCCTGCGAACGAGCGGGCTGCGGCGTGTCTGTGCGAGTTCAGCGTGCACTAACAACCCTCGGCCGCGTTCGCCGCAGCCAAGCGTCAATGGTTAGGTATGTCTGGAGCCGCATACTGTCATTTTATCATTTTCTTAAAAAAATGTCTTGCAAAATACCAATTCAATGCTACAAGAGATAGGAAAAACGATGATCGATTCTTGTGGGATCAAGAAGAGGTACATTTGTGGTGGTGCCTAAACTCCCATGCTTCCAATTCATTACCTTGCTATCCAAAGACGCTTCCTACCAGTACTCTCATGCGAACGACCGCATCCCCTAGTTATCATTCCTGCTCTCCTGCTAGAATATCTATACTCTTGCCTGCGGTGGTACCAGTGCGGAAGCAAACATCACACATCCGGTAAAATGGTCCACAAATTTGTGCAACGTGTCTCAAAATCACCTCGTACACCATATTAATGCTCGCTTCCATGACACGGTACACTCTGTATCGGAGACGAAAAAATCAGAGCCGGCACCAAACATCCGTGTGACTGCGGCGATGAAAAAATGACAATGAGACATTGCGTCTCTGGCCCACGCAGCACAGAGCACGAGCAACCAGACCCCGCGAGGACATCGATCGATCGCTCGTTGTTGTATTCTACTGATTATCAGATAATCAGTAGAATACAACAGCGATCGATCGATGTCCTCGTCAGTGGTCAACTGTCAATTTTTTTCATCGCCGCCGTCACTTACGGTGTGTTGTGTGCCGCCGATTTTCTTCCCGTCCTCCGATACAGAGTGTATTATTTGGGACTCGCGCGCGAATTTTAAAAGAGCGAGCTATCCGTCGTATACCTCCGATCATTCCTGGCATATTTTTTAATTCAAATGGGAGCCTGTTCACACGTCTTCGTATTTACATGTTTCTCTTTGGTGGACATATTTGTTGCAAAACCAATATAAAGAGGCACTTTGACATCCCAGTTGCGATAAATTAGCCGTGCAATATCGTGCAATACACTACGATAAGCTTTTATATTAGTTCTACACAACTTCTTTAATCCCCAATTTTTATTTTCCCCAAAGAACATTCCCTCTAATGCTAGGGGATTGGTTTCTATACATCATGTCTTCGCCTACATAACGCATGGCATTCCGTTCTACATCATTTATCTCCATTTATTACTCTACCTTCGTTTTTATATAGTTGCATGAAAGCAACTATACACTCTAAGTATTTCGAGATAGAGCTTCGATCAAGTCTAGGTCGAAGGGACGCGGTTGCAACGAGCAATTTTTAATTTTCACCCGCTGTTTCATTCATTCTCTCCCTCCAGGCTCAACCCTAGGTGCCTTCAGGCCGCGGTCATATTGCGACTTTCCTCAAGTTCGTGGGCAGTAGATGAAAATGCGAGCGACCGCAAGGACATGATCGGACCACCACGTGAGCGAAGCCTCATTCAATCTGATCGAAACTCATTTAATCACGAAGGAGGAAAACTAGAATAGAGGGGCGCCTTTATTTGACGCTAAATGGGAGCATTACGTGCAATTGCACAGTCCGGACGCGGTGACACGTCAAGGAAATCGATAATAGTGGAAGAAGTGGTCCGACTCTAGACAAGTTATTGGAATCTTCGAAGGCCATTTTTATATTGTACTCTGTTTCTACGCTGATTGTTTTGAGGTGGTGCGAAGGAAGGAACTAAGCCTAGGCGGGCGAAGAACTTTGGGGAGAACGGAATTCTCGC